GGCAAGCTTGAGACCCAGCTCCCTCTCCCCTAACCTTGCCGATATGCAAATGGTCTCATTAAGTAAAAAATAGCAGAAGTGAAACAATCAAGGTTTCCTAAGAAAGAAAATTTCCAGTTTTGCCACAGAAAAAGATAAGCTTTGCATTTGGAATGTCTGAGAGCCTCTGAAGTGCTGTCTCATTAAAATGTATGATCGGAATTAATTCACATGCATTTTGTGAAGAACCAAATCACCTGGGCTGAATTTCTGTGTGCAACCACAAAGAAAAAGGATAACGAGAAACCGAAAGCAGGTTTATGGAGTGGCTGAGAGAGGGCCCCGGGAGAGGGCCTCCCCTGGGTGGAGTGGCTCTTTCTTGTCTGACGTTTTTGTTTATTTATTTATTTACTTATTTACTCACTCACTCATTCATTCATTTATTTGTTAACTTTCTATTTGCTGTTTGGAGCTTATGTGTTAAAATTGGTATCTGACCTGAAATAAGTAGAAGTCTTTTACAAAGAACACAGACTAAAGAATGTAGGGGACCTTAAAGTCAGCCCAAATGTGTGACTATCAGAGAGTGACAACAACAACAAAAACAAAAGTGCCAGGAGAAAGCAAGAGCTGTGTACTTCGGGAAGTACATCTGAACAGCACATCCAGTGGCCTGGGGAAGCTGGGCAGAGGGTAGAGAAGCCCTCTACAGCGGGAGGGAAGTTCTGAAGTGACTACAGTAGCAGCAGCAGTTTCTTATATTTGTTAAAGATATTAATGAAAGTAATAGCTGGGTTCCCTGGATCACCAATATAATCCCAGCACTCTGGGAGGCTGAGGCAGGAGGACTGCATGTTTGAACCCAGCCCAGACAACTTAACACCTTAGGGAAATCCTGTTTCAAATAAAAAAAAATTAAAAATTACTGTGGATATTGCCTAGTCTAAAGGGCTTGGGTTCAATCTTAAGTAACTCCTCCTCCTCCTCAAACAAACTCCCCCGCAAAAAAGAAAAAATTGAAAGTAGTTAACAAGCTTGAAGAGCATCACAGGTAAGAAACCAGCTGGCTTGTTTAGTCCTCCCAGTACTTATTCTCTAAGTCCTCTTGGTTGTGCAGTAGCGGCAGAGCCCCTAGCCTCTCTTATCCTCTCACGCCATGTAGACATTTGCACAGTTGAAGATATGGTGTCACTGTGTCTTTCCTGACCTTTCCATTTGCCTTCTAATAATTGAACAGCTACCAAGAAATCTAATTTTTATCTCACACTTTTAGCCACCTTCTGCCTTCCACAGTTCTAACCCTACACTTGTCCTACCCTCGATGACCCTGTTGGCATGTGGCTAGCTTCCGGACGCATGTCCTTACCTAGAGAACTGGAAGCTGAGGTTTACTAAGATCTCATTTCAGAACCCAGCATATTAAAACCAACCTGTGTGGTCTGTCTATGCCCTTTATCCCACATTAGGCTACAAACGGGCCCATTTATTCAACATTTAAATCCTTGACCAAGGTGCTCCTTGATAAAGACTTCACTTCCCTCCAGATTGCCAAAGAAGGTCGGGTCTATGGGGTGCTAGGAAATGAAGCAGAGGGTCCTGAGGACCGTCAAGGAGTTCGCCGGTCCTGTGGCACCCGTCCTGCAGCAACACCCGCCAGTACCTCCTCAGAATGACCCAGAATAGCTTCTCCGGGCGTCTCCTGCTGAGCCCCAGCACTTTTCGCACTCTGTGTTGTTGATGCCCGTTTTAGAACTGAAGAGGAAAGAGTTTCGGCCCATTCCATTTTCTGTGTACAACACTTACCAAACAGCTCCATGCAAGCGGGCACCGCGCCAGTCGTTTTCTCCTAGTACTTGTATGACTCTCCTTTGGGACGGAAATTTCTATTTTAGGTTCCTAAGCAGCCATTTCTAAGTTGCCGTGTGGCCTCAGAGAGCTGAGACATGAGCAAAAGCGCAAGCATTCGGAACACTGGGAAGGGAAAGGGGCAACTGGTGAAGCGCTCCAGCAGAACATTTCAGTTATCTTCCTATCGCTGACGCACACAAGCGTTGACATTACATCACAGCTATCGAGGTTCATTGAAATTGCAGAAATATGGGTTACAATATAAAAAACAAGCCAGCAATCTTTTTACGTTACTGAAAACATTACCTTATAGAAAGGCTTCTTCTAGTTCGATGAGTATTTGACAACCTTGTAAAAGTCACCATTGTTGACTTTCAGGATGGTTCTATCATGTTCTGTGATTTGCCCATGTTCTCAAAAAACGAAAAATGTATAAACTTAATACTGCAGTTATGCAACAGTAAATTTTTAAAGCCAACTTGTCTGTGTTAAAAAGATTCCCTGGAATCACAAATGAATTTTCTAAAATCTCTGCTAAATGCTTTCATAGCAAAATGACAGTTTTCCTTGTTATCGGTGCTTAACGGTGCTCTACTAAACTACGTATGATAGTAACAGCAGTGTGGATTTACCAAGGACTCTTTCTCTGCCATGTACTTGGCAAACATTTTGCATGAATTCATTTATTTAATCCTCACAATCCTAAGCAATAAGATTATTTTTATCCCCATTTTATAGATGAGAAAACTAAGTCACAGAAATAACTTGCCCAGCTTGCAAAAGGTAACATAAGGATTTGACCAAAGGAGGTTTGATTGCACAAGTTTCCCCTTAGATACACGCTCTTCACAGAGATCTTATGTGATCATTTTTATTTTTATTCTTTTCTTATTTGATAATTTCCACATTCACTAGCATCTTAAAGTTTAAGTTTTAAAGATATAATTGGTATCCTGAACCCATGACCAGGGAAAATTTATTTTGCTTCCTCCTCCTAAAAGAGGAGGCCCTATTTAATATGGAAGAAAATGTCTCTTGATGGTGGCCACAATAGTTCATAAAGTTTCATTCTAGGTGTATTGATTTCACTCAGATTAGAAGGAGAGAACCATTGTAAAGACATCAGATTTTCATTCAGATCCCTGCATATATTTAAATACCAGCTCTCCTCACTAGTTAAATGGCCCAGGGCAAATTACTTGCTGTCTCTGTGATTCTGTTTCCTCATCTGTAAAATGAGGGTAAGAGTACCTATCTTGTAGGGTTGCTGTAGAATTAAATGAGTGAATTTATACAAAGATGTGGAATAGTGCCAGGCATGTTGCTGGGTGTGTGCTGTCTTTCACCCTCATCTTCGACATGATGAAGTACACAAAGCAGGCAGCAAAGGTATTGCCAGTGGTTTTATGTGTTTAGAAGGACTCTGGGATTTCATATAGGAAAGGAAGATGCGATTCAACTCAGATAAACTTTGGTAAATAAGGCAATTCTTACATCACTTAGACTTCTTTTGTTTTATAATTGAGTGGTAATTTAAAAATTAATTACTATGACGCCAATCTTCAAAGTTGGAGTTCTGCACCTGACCAACAGAGATTCAGGTTATAAATTACATGATTCTCCAACTGAAACTGAGAGGTTAACAATTCATCTTGACCACCTCAAGCTAGAAATGTCAAGAAGCATAAAATATTCCTGGCTGCAAAGTCCAAGTGATTAGAGAACCAAGGGTGTGGAGTTTGACCTCACTAATGTATCTCAAGATATTAGTTGAAGTAAATATATCTCACAGGTAACAATTTTGATTGACTCCCATGCATTTAAAACTTCATTTCGCTTTATTCTAAAAATGGGATTGGATTCTCTGAAAACCCTTTAAGGGCATTCACTGAGCGTTAGATAGGCTTTATTCCTTCAAGGCAGTTTGGTCCAACTCTGCCAACTCACCAATGGGGAAAGCTGGCAAACTTCCAAAGGTGATTAGTGTTGTATCTGCTGTTTCACTGGGTAGAGTATGTTTGGGTGGATGGAAGGGAAAGCCTATAATTTCATAGCTATTAGTAGAACATTTCTGCTAAACCTCTTTTTATTCTAAAAATTGGTTGAAAGAATGTTAACAGTCAGAACGATTGGAGGGCAGTGTACTGTAACCAGAATAGAATCCACCCATATTTGGTACTGAACAGTGTAAGTCGGAGGAGTATAAATATTTCCTCTAGCATATAGATTATCTTTTGACGCTTTCTTTTTTTAAATAAAAATCATCTTGTCAATACTTGAACTCTGAATATTTTTCTGCATAAATGTAAGATTAGAGTTATAAGCTTAATCTAGACCAGTTAGGAAAAAAAAAGATTGCATTTTAAAATTGTGCCACCACTATGTGGTTAGGAAGAATAGCACTGATTAAACCAAATGTTGAGTAATTATTTCAATACTCATATCCATCATGTCTGCCAAGTCTATGCATTCTTCTTATAGCCCCTTTGAATTACATTCGAAATAACTCTTATGCAAATAGATCGAACAATGACATGACATGCTTTTTTGTCATCATGGGTCATTATCATCAAACACTGAGCGATTTCATTGCACTGGTGTAATTAGGTGACGAAGCTCCACTCCAGCCTCCATGGGTCAGCTATGTGGACTCTAGCTGCCAAAGGCGCTCCTCCTTCTGAACAGAGCGCTTTGCTCAGCCAGTGTAGACATGGCCTGATAAATAATGGAACTTCTTCCTTGAGAACTGGACTTGGGGTTGGTCTAATTCTTAGCTCAAGAAATGCGCATGAGTTTGAGTGGTTAAAGTCCCTCACATTCTGGTAAAATGGGAACCTAAACTGACAGTAATGCAAAGAGCAACATAATTTATAATGAACTTGAAAGGCAGTCACACTTACTGTGGAGAAAGCTAATCAAGGGTCTATCAAATCAAAGTTTTAGCGTGAGCTTAACTATCTGTGGCAGGGAGGTTGTTACCGCGGATTTCTATCTGTCAGGTCCTAACGCTAAACCTGTCAGGGTGCAACATGGTCATGTCACTTTTAACCGAGATGTCACATAGGTCACGAGAGACAACCTGCTTTGTGTGTGCCTGTCTAGGATTTTTTTCCCCTGGGAAAAGAAATCATACAAGGGATTTTTTTTTTTAATGCTGAATTTTTATTTTGCAGATTCCCAGGCTGATGGAGCAAGTGATGAAATGGGTTACCAACTGTAGTTCCTCCCGTCAGCGCGGAATGCTGCAGGGAATGTATTCAGACATGCCCAGAGAAGTCTGCCCAAGGTCAAATTAATACCTTGGAGGTTTAAATCAGGTGTGTGACGAATGCTGGAAACATGACTTCTTGCAAATGTATACGTACATACATTTGCATCTGTGTTTGTCAAGGAAAGTGGGATCACCTGTGTCTCTTACATGTTCTTCTGGTGCTGGGAAAATGCTATACAAATCTAGACCCAACTCTAACACATTCTCTCCCCTAGGCTTTGCTGTACTCTAACCCAGCCCCTTCAACATCATCTACCTTACCAAGCTTTAGATTTTAACATGATTATGGTTTTTCACTTTCAAGAAGACTTTTGATTTTGGAGAAGTTCTAAAATTGACACTTAAACTTTGATAGGTTTTACCATTTGCCTATTTCCTTCAAAAAATAAATACTGTGTGCAATATATGAGTTAGCTGCGGAAAAGCTAAGGAAATTACATTCAAATTATCTCTAAAAATAGATGTGCATATTATCTTTAAATAGCTATTAAGTGGCTCAGAAAAAGCAAGCAATTTTAACATCTTCCAAAAATACGAACCACATTTCCCTACAGGATGAAGTTGTGCTTAATCGCTTATGCTTTAATTCATTCAGAAACTACACGATTATTGTTGCTATATTTTGTTAGAGAGGAAGGAGAGGCTATTTCTACAGGTGTCATGAAAAATCAATACTGAGCCACGGATTATTGGATCCTATAGAACCATGGAGACACGGCAGTGAAATTCTTCCAAAGGTGAGTAGGGACATTGATTTTCCTTCTCATGCCTGAAGAAATATGACAAAGGGAATAGAGGCTAAATCTGGATTGGAAACAAGTGTGATTTGAAACTATATCTGCAAAAATTAGTAATGATTTTCCCAACAGATAAATTTGGTTATCTCATTATAATTATGGTATATAAAATTACCTCATTTATGTTTCTTAGAGTTGCTTTTTAAAATTTCTTCAATACCTTTGAAAAAATAACAACTCCTTGGCTGACATTCTATGTGTTATTCATATTCAATAATTTCCTTGTGGAATATTTGTTTTACACAATATAAGACAATGCTTCTCTTACATCTTTAACCAAAGATGCAGTAATCTTTCAGTCTCTAAGCAAAAGTATGTTATTTGTACAGTCTAACTTAAAAATATGCGTCTATCACTAACCTTCCTTGCTTAAAACTGTATATTTTCCAAACTACTTGTGCTAGGAGTTTTAGATACATATTTACTTGTTTGCTTACTTATTTTATAGTTTCTTCTAGATTTCTCAGAGCTGAAAATCTATATATAATGTGTTGGCTGTTTTACTGCATTGCTTAGCATTCCATCCATGCAGGCAGACGGTGTTCCTAGGTCGGAAGCATAAATCCCATGGGAAGTCAGCTAAAGAACATTTTATGCATCACTCATCCTATTATGAGCCCTGTGCTCTTCCATCTCTCTACAAGGTAAGAGATTTATTATGAGTTGGCTTCCAGAAGCAGAAAATGTTGTATGCTAATGGGTCTTGCTTCAGTGTGTAAGTTTTTATAAACTGAATGGAGAGTATAGAAATAGTTTTATAAGCAATAGAATAATTGGAACAATTTAAGTTACTCACACACACACTCTAGTGTGCTCATCTGTCCCCAGGTAGCACTTGGTAGTTCCACTCAGGAACACACATTCTGTAGTACTGTCTACCTCATGGGAAGTGAGGTAGTAAAGTCGTCATTTTTATGATGAATTTGAGCAGAGTAGATGATTAAAGGAAGATAATTCGGGCTTTAAAGTAGAAAATTTCCAGACAACGGCCTTGCTTTGTTAAGAGAGGGATATAATTCAAGTTATAGTAACTTATGGGATCAGGCTGATTATAAGAAAGTTAAAATACAAAATTATAGCAAGTGAATAGTAATGTATGTTATGATTTTAGTATTTATTTATTTTTTATTGACTAGCGGAAAGTTCTTATTCTTTTTTCCTTAATCTGAACTTTCAGACTGCCTGAAACAACAAAAATTGTCCATAATTTTAATTCTACTTTGACTCTGGTTGCATCCAAAGACAATGTTCTATTAAAGAGACTATTGCAAAGATAGTATTAATGAAATAACTGGAAAGTGCAAGATTTTGATTCTCCATTCGATGAGGTAAGAGGGCATCCTGTCTCATAGAATTTCACTTGATTATATCATTTGTCCCATTCTCAAGAAAGTTGACATTTACTGCTGTGCTACAGAAACATATTATAACTCTCATATAGGCTGTCTAAACTGTAACCAATTTGATACTTAAGGCTGGGCTATTTAATGGTTTTATTTATGTATAAGTCAAATTATTTGTGCTCTCTTTCCATCCTTTACAGCTTAGAAAACTCAGTATATCGTGCACTGTATTTAAATAAAATATAAATTATATACATTTTAATTACTTTGGGGAAAAGACATACTGTTTCTAATTCTTGCTGAAGTTTAACTTTTAATGTGTGAATTCTCGCATGTGAGCAAGCCAAAGCCAATAGCTTATCTTCGAGGGTTGTAAAGTTAAAAGGGGAAATAAAGATTTCATGGTAAGTGGCAGCCTCGTGTTTCCTGTTATAAAAATATGTTTGATAAAAAGAAAACAAAGTACAAAAGTCAACGGCAAGATGATGAAGAAGCATAAATAAAGTTCTAAGTGCCCATGTATATGACGAGAGGGTGCTCTAATAGCTCACTGTCTTTATGCAGTACATATGCTATAATCCGTCCAAGTGGAAATACTTTTGTTTTGTAGTTCAAAAGTATTAGTACTGGCAACATTGCCACCCTGTATGCTTAAGCTAAAATTTCCCATAATATCTTAAATACGTGATCGGCATCTGAACAATGTGATGTTGTCATTCTTCTTTTTGATTAAGCCTATCGTATGATCCTTTCCAAAACGTTGCAAAGATGAATACCTGCTACATACCTTGTGGTTTGTAAAATATCATAAACTTTTGAGGGAAGAGGAGCAAATGAACTAAGGCATAATTATCTCCCATGTGAAAATAGCCTGGGATACCAATGCTATGGAACCCAATGTCTGCCTCATTGGCATTTTCTTTGCTGCTTTGTCTCCTTCTGGTTTCCTGGCTCCTTCTCTCTGCAGCTTCCCCTTGACTCCTCCATTGTATTCTGGTTGGCAGTTAAAGGACAGAAACAGCAATAAGATTGTCTGGTTACATTTTCCCAGTCCTGCCAGCTGGGAGTTAAGCTGACTAACGTCGTGAAAGCCTGGCCCATTTCGTTCACAGCAGGAAGGTAGGTAAAAGCATTTCAGTATTAAAATACACACTTTGTTTCTTCAGCTTCTTGGTCTAATTTTTCTTCTTTGTCAGTTGGAGGGAGAAATGAAAGTAGGTTGGGGATCAAATGCCTGGGGTATTTAATCAAATACCCAGGAACTCCTGATCATACGATGCAGAAATTTTACTTTCGAGGATCACCATGGTGGATTTTGTCAAGTCAAATAGGTGTCCCTTTCTACCCAGTATGTTGTTGGTCTATTTCCTACTACTGCTTAATTGACATGTAGTGGAAGAATCCCAGATTACTGTAATAACTCCTGGGTTATTGGAAATTAAATGGACAAGGTAAACATTCCCATGAAATATACACATCGTCAGGTGGTATGCTTCTTTAGATGGTACTTTTTACATGTCCTTGTTTGTTTCTATTAGAACAAGAAATTGAGACTTACATTACACTATGTTCCATTAATTTGATTCCTGTTTATTAATTGGTGAGTATAAACCTCCTTGCATATGGGATGGAACTCATTGATCAAGCAATATCACATAAGACATCACTATATTGATTCTTGACCTTCCTATCTTGCACCGTGCTATGCTGAATGCCTTGTCCTTGGGTCCTTGCAGATAACAGCTTAGTGGGTAATGGGTGAGGGAAGGTATTAGCTCCTTTCCTGAGCGGCTGCAGGCTGTGGAATATCTCCTCAGAGGGAAATTTCCTTGCAAATGGTGAAATTGGGATGAATGATACCAGTTTGCATTCATACAGAGTATATTTTTAAGGAAGTTTAGGTCCCTCTACAGCAGTCATCTAGGATGAATGAATGTAATACAGTTACATTTATGGTGGGAAAACCGAAGTTCTGAGATATGTCAGATCACTGTGATAATGCCATCGCTCATTTTATGAATGAATCAAAGCGTTCCTCTGCTGTTGTCCATATGCTTCTCTATTGAAATAAATTTTACAAAGCCTCTATTTTTACCTGGAGCTAGAGCCCCTGTGTTTGTGCTTTCTTACCCTGAAGTGTATGTCTGGTGTTTTTTGGTTTATATCTATAAGCATTCCTATAGATATTTCTTATCAGATGGGATCAAATGTGCATAGGAAGTGCACTGGAAAAATATGAGTTTTCTGAAGCTTTAGCAAGAAAAGTATGAACAAATAAAATCCAACAGACACCTGTACTATGGCTTTATCTAAAATCAAGGGCATGTGGTCCTTTCTATGTTATCAGTTAGACAAATCTTTTAGCCAGTTTGTCTAACTTGACAAATATTTTCTATCTATAAATATTTTTGGGGGTTCCACAGGGAATCTTGGATATTCATTTATTTTTAAAAGAAACTTCAAGATCAATAAATTCAAAATATTTCAAAGTTATTTCTCTGCTTAACTACAGCCACGCTGTCATGGATATTGCCAGATTCATTCAGAACCTGGACAGGGCCATTTGGGCTAAAATTTAGAGCTGCAAGTGTTCTTGTTGCTGAAGAGCCTGAGGCCTCACCATTGTCTAGTTAGTTTTCCCTTTTCAAAACATTTTTTTCGAGAAGGTCCTGGAAGAGAGTAAAGTTTCGAGAAATGGGTATAAGAATTTTAAAAAAATTTCTCTTTCTCGTACGTTAAAATGCTAGAGAACAAAATGTCTTTTGTCTGCGTTTTAATCAAATAGTTACATGAAATGTAAGTCACGGTGTCATTGTCAGGATGACAGTAAGGGAAGGAGGCAGTCATACTTCAGCTAGTATGGCTCTTGCAAACCCATTAGGCTAATAAGCTTCCAGTAAGCTTCCAGCTAAAAAGATGCTCCATTTCTCTCCAATGTGGCATAAAGAGCACAGTCCTCTTGAACAGATTCATTTGTAAATATGAAGGTCAGTGTTCCATGATCCAGGGCAGATATCTGCATACACATATTCATTAGTGCATTCCCGTTCAAATTCATCAGCCACATAGTAAAAATAGTGCAGGGGAGAGAACAAGGATTCCTCTGGGTCCTTATAGGAGTTGCTGTAAAAAGATAATAGGGAAAGATCATTTTTATTTTAAAGCTTAGAAGTTCATTTACATTTTGCCTTCTTTTCCATTGTGTATCATAATTACTTTATTATAAAAAAGTGTTTTAATTGCTTACGCTGGAGAGAAACTGGAATTTGCAGTGGGTGTTTGCCCTTTTGTGACTCTGACAGAACTCAGGATGGGGACTTGGGCTTCCTTGTTTTGCGGTCTAGAATACTGGTGTGTGTGAGGTGGTGTTTATGGTGTGATATGAAGAAAATATGGCAGCTTCAGTTTAGTACATAAACGTACTGGTTAAATTGTAGTTGGCATGACTGGTCTGAATTCCTGCTCTACTGGTTGCTAGCTGTGTAAACAGTTTCTAAACCTGATTCCTCATCTATAAAATGAGAAAAGTAATCATACCCACTCCGTAGGGTGTCTGTAAAGATTAAATGGGACAGTGAACCTAAAGCACAGTGCTTTGCATATGGTAAAAGGCCGGTAAATGTGAGCTCTCTGTGATGCTTAGGATTGCAATTATTTATTGTGTGTCTACATGTGCATACATGTCATACATGCACATTTGTGATATAATGTATTTTTATTCAAAAGCTGTTGGCTCACCTTACGGAAGTCGTGAAAAGGCATTATCTGCCTTCAGCACTGGCAGCTGCTATTGAGCAGGTGCACTCTCTTCTTACTCCTTTCCAATGCCCCACGCTCTGTTTCTCTGTCCCCCTCTGCCCAGGAAAACCTCCTTTCAAGTCTGGACTTGCAGTTCCTGCGCACAAAGGTCTAGAGGACTGCTCACATTTGGGGTGCTGCCCTTCAGACTTACCAAGGATCAAATACAGATCTGATGAGATTGCAGACACTGGGGGCAGCTGGTGGGACTGGTCTGATGGTGTGATCTTCCCCTTGCCCTCTAGACCTCTCCCCAGAGTGGTAACTGTGAACTGGGCTGAGGGGGAGGGTTAGTGCAGCCACTGAAGATACCTGCAGGGTTTCTCTGTGGGATTCCTCTGACATCCTCAAAGCTGCCTCTCTCTAACCCTGGGGCCAGTTAGCAATGTCTGTCAGCATTTCCTTTTTTTTTTTTTTCTTTTTTATTTGTGTCTGTGGGTTTTGAAACTTGTCATGCCTTAGCAGCAAGCTTAAATCCTTTGAATATTTTTCCCTAATATTCTTTATTTTTGGATATACAGCAATTTTTTTCTGCCCATATCTTGTCCATATATTTATTCTTAGTTGTCCATTTATTTCTTTCACAAAGGCTTCTATTCATGATTTAAAGTTTTTTCACACCTTCAACTATTTTTATGAGACATTATCCTGAAAATGCATTCTCCTTTTTTATGTAACTTGCTTCACTTGTGTTGTCTGTGCATGGGGTTTAGGATTTAAATGGCTAGGTTCAAGTTTTAGGAGCGCCTTCAATAGAGATTTATACTTGGACAATCATTTTGTATCTCAGCCTTATCAGTGATGTGGGAAATTTTTTTTAAAAATGTGCCTGCACATAGTTTGCAAAAATGAAATCAGATTATAGTATTTTGTAAACTCAAAAGTAGTGTAGGAGCGCTTTTCTTTTTTGTCTTTTTAATGCATTCCAACAATACCCTTTAAATAGTTCCTTTTTTCAAAAAGAAATGAAGCGACCCATTATATGTGGTAATTTATGGATGAAGAGACAGGACTATCTCTCTTTGGCATTTTCCCCATTTCCAGAAATAGCTGGTCTCTTCATTCCTACAATATGACTGTCAGAAACTAACTCCAGCGTTGTGTCATTTAATGCAGAGACAGCCCAGAAGAGAATGTTTTCAAATGTAAATAGTACAGGAAAGATGTCCACTATTAAACAGAAAGGGCCCTATTGATGAGCTACATCAGAGTCCAGATCATTCTTTGAGCATCTGCATAAGGCTGAGATACCCAAACACAATCAGAAGTTTGGACTGAGGCCATGAAACATGATTATTTTTAGGATGCTCTACACAAATGAGAAAAGAAGACAGTTAATACTTATTAAGTGCCTGTAAAATAACTTTGGTAATCATAACCGTTAACTTTGATGTTTTGGTAGACACTGAATAAGCACCAGCTAGACTTTACCAAGTTACCTCATCCTTAAACTACTCTATAGCATATTATTATTCTTGTTGTACAGCTGAAGGATCTCTGATGCTGAAGCCAATGCTTGGTGCGTTTTTCCTAAGGATCTGGAGCAACAGATGTCATTTAGTGCATTTTGCAACTGAAGTCATTGGAATACAGGAGCTTTTGATAACTTGTCTACACAGCTCTTGGTGGAAGAGCTGGGAGCTCGTGATGTTGACCTGTCCCTCCACACTGTATCATACTACCTTTCGGAATGCTTTTGTTCTTTTTCTTTTTCCTTTTTCCCTTCTCTAGTGGTGCTGGGGAGTATTGTAGGCAGGGCCTTGTGTATCGTAGGCAAGCATTCTGCCACTGGGCTACATCGCTCACCCTCTTTTTTTTTTTTTCTTGTAATGTTTCTTCCATTGTAGATACTTTCGTAAAGTAGAACAAAATGCAATTACTAGAAAAATAAAAGACTGGCATACAAAACACAAACTCTGCTTTTTCTTATCACATTTAGGAGTCATAAAATGAATGTGTCCCAGGGCTGTAGATGTTTCTAATGCTTGCTTGTGATTTCCATGCTGATCTTGTGGTGGTCTGGTAACATAACCAGTAAACACAATACCTACCCACACGTGAAGTCTTGAGGAGTGTTGCTGTAGGCCTTTGGTAAATAACCTTGCTAAAGAGAAGGCAGTTTCCTCATTCATGGGCAGATGTCCTGTAGCCTGAGTTTCAATTTCAATATTTACCAATGAGGCCTTGGATAATACCCAGGTAGGAAATATACTAAAATTCACTTAAAAGTCATTGCCTCTTCTTTCTTGTTGTTTTTATCTAACCCAAGTTAAATAGAATGTCTTAGCAATATACCCACAAGAATTAAATTAATTTTGTAT